GTAATCAATAAAAGCTGATTTCCTTATCATTTAAAAAGAGAAAGAACTGAACTCTGAATGCACATTCAAGTATAACTTCTCACTTTATTTTTCTTGCTTTTTTGCACAATATGATTAATATGGAAATTCATTTTGCATTATTTTACATGTATAACTGATATCCTATTGTTCATCTCAGGGGAGAAAGTGTGAGAGGGAGAGAATTTGAAGCTGAAATTTTTTAAACAAGAATTATAAAATAAATAAATTATAAATATTTTTAAAAACTCAAGTGGATTTTTAAGAGCTAAGAGTAGTCTGTTATGAATTAACAAAACTAATTCCATTTTGTTCCATATTTGCCATTTTTGCTTTGTATGAACCCTACATGAACTATAGGACTTTTTACAGCAGTTGGTTTCCTCCAGTGTCATCTTTCCTTCCCTAATTGGTATGAAAAACTTAATTGCTATAAAAGAAGGACCTTAGTAGTCCAAGAATTATTCCTCTTCATTAATTTGTCCCGAAATGATGTATTGTTCCCCTTGATTTAATGCAACTAGCTGTATTAACAAGGTTACCTTCCTTCTATATCTTCTGTACCTAATGGTATATTTTTCTTAATAATAATACTTTCCTCCCTTTGTATAATCATCTACTCAGTAATGAGCAACCATTTTTTTCTTCGTCTTAATTAATTTATAAATATTTCTAGCCAAATTATGAAAGACATATATTTCTATAAACTGCTTGTGGAGTATGTCTCATTCTGCATCAATAAACTGAAATAAGTCTGTCGATGCCAGAAGGCATCTTGAACTAGATGTCAAGTGGGTATCTTAAATTCAACATGGCAAAAACAGAATTCATTATCTTTCCCCCTGAACCCTCCCCTCCCTCCTTATTTCACTGTTACCTTTGAGGGTAACATTCACTTCCCAGTCCCCAAAGCTCTTAACCTAGGTGTCAAGCTTGACTGCTATCATTCATCCCTCATATCTAATCTGTTGTCAAGGCCTATTGGTTTCACCTTTTCCACATATCTCCAATATTCCCCTTTCTATGCTCTGATAATACCATGACTCTTGTCCAAGCCCTCACCATCTCACACTTGCTCTCTTATAATAGTCTGCTGGTGTGTCTCCTTGTCTCAAGTCTCCCCACTAAAATTCACTTTCCATTTAACTGCCAAAGGGATTTCCCTAAACTTTAGTTCTATGTCACCAACCCATTATTCAATAAACTTAAATGGCTGCCTGTCTCCTCCAAGATCAACTACAAAATTTCTCTCTGGCATTCACAGTCCATCAAAACCTAGCTCTCTCCCCACTTCTCCCATTTTTCTAGTCTTCTCATACCTTGTTCACTAGCAACACTGGCCTCTTTGAACAAACAGAACAATCTATCTCTCACCACTGTGTATTTTCACTGGCTATCCCCTCTGCCTGGAATCTTCTCCCTCTTCATCTCTACCAACTGGCTTCCCTGGTTTTCTTTAAATCTCAACTTAAGCTCCATCTTCTACAAGAAGCCCTTCTCAACCCATCTTAATTCTAGCACTTTCCATTAATTAATTTATCCTATGTATACCTTATTTGTACATATTTGTCTACTTGTTGTCTCCCTCATTTAGATTGGAAGCTCCTTGATGGCAACCTTGCCTTTTGTCTCTTTTTTTATCCCCAGTGCTTATCACAGTTCCTGGAACATACTAGGTGCTTAGTAAATGTCAATTGACTGTCTCTGTTTCATGCTGCCTTAATTGACAGTGGTTAATCAATGACCTAAAGAAAATTCATGCAACAATTTTGGTAGCCCAGATGGGACTATACTAACCCAGCCCTTGTTCAGATCCCCATATCTGAGAATTTTCTGTGTGTAACAGATTAGTTGGTGTATACATATAAGACATATACATATGACTTTATTTGTGTATACATATAAGGAAGAGTGAATTCCATTTCTAATCTTCATACTTTTCTACTGACTGTCCTCTTATGCCTAGAATTACATTTTTCTTCATGTGTTGTGGAGTTTCTAGTTTTCTTCAAAACACAGCCAAGTGCAATTGCCCATAGAAGTCTATCCTGATTCCTCTCACTTGCTAACACTTCACTTTAAAGAAATTAGTTTGTATTTACTCTGTAAACACAACCTACTTATCTGTGTTGTTTATTTTGTTTCCCTTCAACCACAAAATGTAAGCTCTATGAGGGCAGGAGCTGCTTCATTTCTGTTTTCATTTATATAGAGAGCTTGGTATATTGTAAGTTCTTAATATGTGCTTGTTGGATGAGTGAATGAATGGTAATGTATGAAAGTGACTGTCTTTTTTTCATTGAGAAAGTTCAATCAAATGAGAAAGCACCATTACCTGAGAAACGGGTACTGATGACTAAATACATTTGTAGATAGTAAATGCTTTTGCTTTCAGAGTCTAAAACCCATTTCCTTCCCTAGAGTGTGAGCTCAGGAAGGTCTCCAATTCGATATCCATAAAGTTGATTCTGTGTTGGGTACAAGGAGAGTGTGTTCCAGATACAGCCCAACCATCACATGGACTACTTCACATTAAGCAACTGTCACATGGACTACCATTCAGAAAAAGTAGATAGAGGCCAGAGTTCCAGGGCTTCTTACATGGTTATGCCAATAGGTTGGATAATGTGAGTAGCTATGAGAAACCTTGTGACAGTTTGGTGTATTTCTGAACTTTACAAAAACCCCAAAAGACCCAGATTTGGAAATTGTGTAAAATGTGACTATGAATGTTTCAATTTCTGATACCCTAAAGTACTGAAGGAGCATGATCAAAATCATAATAATTTTAATAAAAATTTGTATTATTATGCATAATAATAGCATAATAGAAACCAGGAAGACCTGGGTTTACCTCATACTTATGATATATTCTGGCAGTGGGATTTTAGACAAGCCATTGAAGCTCTCATTTCTCTGAATCTATGCTGCAGAGAAAGTTTCAGCCTTCACTAATAGAGGGAGTTTCCTCATTCAGGAAGTTTCTTATACTAATTAAATTGTAGGTTCAATCCATATCTCTATTATTATTATTTTAAAAAGAGGGAGTACAATGGATATGAAGTTGTGACTTTGTTACTCTCTTGTTAAAAGGTTCCTTTTTCAGGATTTAAGACTACTGGTAATTCCTAGACTTAGTCTTAAAGAAAAAGGTTTAGTCATGTGAAACCATTTCTATCTCTTTGACCACCTGAAAAGGTACAGTGTGTCACAACATCTAGAGTCATGATGTGAGACATTACTCTTGAGTGACTACTTTTGACCTCACCCCTATTAGGAAAGTGTACAGGAAGATCCTACTTTCCCAACAAAGAGAAGGAAAAAGACTGCTTCTGAAATCTGAACCATTGGCTTATAAGAATTTAAGAACTTGTTGGCTCTTTTCAACTGATCATTCCCAGTTTTTAAATTTTATTCCCCCAAGCTTCTTGTTTATACCCAATTTCCTTTCATTGGGAAGAAAATGACTGTTTTCTTATACTTTTTCTTCTTTCTGCTAGGAAAAATGTAGGTATCCATTGATACTTAGCAATCTTGTAGTGTCCTGGACAGGGTCTTGAACTTGGAATAAGTCAACTTATTTCTACCCTCAGGTCTGACATTAACTAGCTGTGATCTTGGGCAAGTCTCAAAACCTCTCTGGACCTCAGTTTCCTCATAAGCAAAATCAGAGTGACACACTAAATGATTGCTAAATTCCTTTACAACTCTGAAATTTTGTGACTTTCACCTTTGTAATTAAAAAAACACTTCTAGCTTATGTTTAGTTTTGTTCAAGTCTATTATTGGCTAGTCCCAAAGAATTCAAATCTCGTTGTCTTGTTCATGACTTTTATTGAAGGATTTTGGTCATCTTGATACCAATGCTGTGGGATTCCTTACAGCCCTCAGTGTGAAATTGCAGCTTCATTCATTCATTGTTCTTTCATTAATTTACCAGATATTTGTAGAATTCTCCAAGAGGGAAAAGCACTCTCAATAAGTAATGAGTTCCCTTTGCCTGGAGATCTTCGAGTGTAGCTTGTATGAATTTTTGTTGAGAGCATTTTGGAGACAATGGTTGACCTATCCAGGGTGTGGGTTTGGACAATTTAATATCTGAAGTGTCTTTAACCTCTGATGTTCTAGATTTCTAAACACTCAAAGTATCATTCTAGACTACATGTTGTCTTATTCATTCAATGTCTGAGAAACTATCTCAACTAGGATAGTGGCAGTAGGAATAGAGAAGATGGGATTAATGAAAGAGATCATATCTCTAATTTTTCTTTGATACTTTTTAGGAACCCTCTGTTTAGTTCTTCAAGGCTGATGTTAAGTAACTTATGTTGCAGGAAGATGCCCAACTTAAATATGTGTGTATGTGTGCTGTTGCTTTACTGTTGAGAAAAGTGGTTTAGAAAATTATGAGGGCACCAAGTCCTAGGAAGGATGCTTAAAATCTAAATTTCAAACATCTCTCAAGTAGCAATTCAGGAGGAAGATGTTTAATGGATCACAGGTAACTGTCTTATTAGAAAGCTTTGTGTGAGGTGAAAATCTGGCATGATCCTTCCTGCCTCTAAAAGCTCATACAGTTCATTCCTACACAAGGTCACTTCAGGCTGAGGTAGAAGCAAATATGAAGATGAGATGACCTTCTTGCAGAGCTAGAGAGAGGAGAACTGAAGCTAAGAAGTGGATGAAATTCAAGATTAAAAAAGAGGCACTCAAAACTGAAGAATCTTGGAGAGAGACTAGCAGAAGCAGTTTTACTCCTAGAAATTGATTCTCTCTTACTCTGTCCCCAAGCCTGAAATAAAATTGCTTCCTTTGCATAAAAATGTCTAACTTGAGTATATGAATATGTCTGAGTAAGTCTATTGTTGCCTGACCACTAAAAAAATGAATAGATGAGAGAAAAAAAGGGAAGGCCAGCTCCAGCAGGGATCCTATACTGGCCATTTGCTCACCAGACCCTACCCCTAACTCCCCATAAACACCTTTGCCAGGGCTACTTTGATTTCTCGGTTCTGCAGACTATAGATGTAGGGGTTTAGTGTTGGAGCCACCACAGAGAACATGACTGTGGCCACAAGATCTTGGTCTTCCTTTTGGCCCTCAGCCTGGCTCGGGGGCTTCAGGTAGACAGCCACTAGAGTTCCAAAGAAGAGAACAACCACCATTAGATGGGATCCACAAGTGGAAAATGCCTTGTGGAAACCCCCAGGGGCTCGAACCTGACAAACAGCAGCTCCGATGAAGATATAAGAGGCTATAATGCAAAAAGCAGGCCCAATGATTACAAGACCACCCTCAACTATAACCATCATGTAGTTGAGGGAGGTGTCAGAGCAGGCAAGATGTAACAAAGGATGGAGATCACAGAAGAAGCCTGGGAGAGCACGATTGCTACAGAAGGACAGACGAGCAAGAAGAGCTGTGTGGAGCAGAGAATGCAGGGCTGTGCCCACCCACACAGCCCCCAGGAGCAACATACACCGTGGCAGGGTCACCACAGTAGTATAGTGCAGTGGCTTGCATATGGCTACATATCGGTCCCATGACATGGCAACTAACACAAAGACATCCACATTACCTGCCATCAGGAAAAAGAAGACTTGGGACAAGCAGGCTGAATGAGTGATGGTCTGATCCCCTGTCAGCAGGGCATAGAGGAACCTGGGCATTGTAGCAGAGGTGAAGCAGAGATCTGCCAGGGACAGGTTGACCAGGAGCACATACATGGGTGAATGGAGGCGTGGGTCTGAGCCAACAGCAACAAGAATCAACAGGTTTCCTAGGATAGCTGCCAGGTATAGGCCTAGGAATAGTGGGAACAGGAGTTCTTGGTGACTGGAGAAGGCCAGGAGGAGGAATTCATAGGTGCTGGTCTGATTTTCCATTGTTATGTTACTGCTGAGTCTAAGCCTGGATTGGGGAGATGAAGAGATGGATTGAGAGAGAGTCCCACAGCTAATCCACCCAAAAGGTGGAATATTTAGCGTCATTATGGCCTTTCAAAAGTATTTTTCATAGCCTGAAGAGATTTCAAAGACTTCCTAGCTATGGCAGTATCATTGGCATAAATCTATAAGTTCTAAAGATCACTACTGATCATCAAATCATATGCAAAGTATATGTTGTTAAGTTATGGTAGAAAAAAAAAACAAGTCTTTACTTTTTATTTTTCCCCTGGGGGGCCTAACATAGTGTCCTATACCCCTACTTTCCCTGGAAGGGATTCCCATGTGCCAATTCATTTCCATAAGTTTGTTTAAATTCTAAATTTCCAGTTGCTTCTTGAATGCATCCACTGACTGACCATCAATCAAGCACCACTAGAATAATGATCCTGTAAAGGAATACTACAGGCAGGAAGGGGATGACACTGCCACTATGACTCAGACTCACTTCCTACAGATTATCTTTACGTCATTATAGCCCTGTGCACCAGATCTTCTGAGGTTCTAGTCTTGACTTGAAAGGGGAACTTCCTGGCAGCCGGGTTGCAAAGATTCCCTGTCTGAAATAAGAAAAAAAGTCTACTCTACCTCAATGCCCCTGAAATGTTTGGATAAAAATTAAACTTAACTAAATACATCAACTCCAGCTTATGGAAAAAACAATTTTTGTTATCAGAAGACTAGGCTTTCAAACTCAAGTCAACCCCTTGCTAGCTAAGTGACTCTGATCAAGTCACTTAATATCTGTGCCCACAAAATTGTATTAAACTTTCACTACTCTATTGTAGAGCTGATTAGAGTCTCAAATGAGATACTATACTTTACCTGCTATATTCATTTTGTATAAATGTATATATATGAATATCTATGTATATTTGCATATATGTTACGTATAAAATATGCAGAAAAGAGATCAAAGATAAAAAAGTCTCTCACACACACATGTAAATATATACATAAATACATGTGTATATATGTATATATACACATATATGTCAGTTCTTTTTGAAGTAGAGAAGTTGAAACAAAGAAACTATCACTTGGTTGGGGAATGGATGAACAAATTATGCTCTATGAATGCAAGGAATATTACTGTGCTATACGAAATGACAAATATGTTTAAAATTTATAGAGAATTGACTTAAATTTATAAGAATACTAGTCATTCCACAATTGATAAATCATCAAAGGACATGAACAGGCAGTTTTTGGAAGAAAAAATTAAAGCTATCCATAGTCATATGAAAAAATGATCTAAATCACTATTGATTACAGAAATGCAAATTAAAAAAAAACTCTGAGGTATTACCTCATACTTATTAGACTGGCTAACATGAGAAAACAGGTAAATTTTAAATATTGGAGAAGATATGGGAAAATTGGAACAATAATGCATTGTTGATGGAGTTGCAAACTGATCTAACCATTCTGGAGAACAATTCTGAACAATGCCCAAAGGGCTACAAAACTAAGCATACACTTTGATCTAGTAATACCACTACTAGGTCTGTATCCCAAAGAGAATATAAAAAAGGGAAAACAACCTACATGTACAAAAATATTGATAGCAGGGGTTTTTGCGATGGTAAAGAATTGGAAATTGAGATGATGCCCATCAATTGGGGAATGGCTGAACAAGTTGTCATATATGAATGTAGTGGAACACTATTGTTCCATAAGAAGTGGTGAGCAGGTAGACTTCAGAAAAACCAGGAAAGACTTACATGAAGTGATGCTGAGTGAAGTGAACAGAACCAGGAGAACATAGTACACAATAACAGCAACATGGTGCGATGACTAACTTTGATAGACTTATCTCTTCTTATTAATGCAAGGATCTAAGACAACTCCAAAAGACTCATGATGGAAAATGCAATCCACATCCCGAGAAACAACTATGGAGTCTGAATGTCAATCAAAATGTACTATTTTCTCTTTCTTTTGTTATTTCCTATTTTTTTCTCGTGGTTTATCTCTTTTGTTCTGATTCTTCTTTCACAACATGAGTAATGTGGACATATGTTTAATAGGATCATACATGTGTAGCCTATATCAGATTGCTGATGTTTTGTGGAGGGGAAAATGGAAGGGAGAATTTAAAACTGAAAATTTTATAAAGGCTAATGTTTAAAACTTAAAATTAATTAATTAATTAATTTTAAAAACAACAGATATGATGAATACAGAGAATTAAGGAAAGACTTACACAAAGTAATACAAAGTAAAGTAAGCATAGTTAGGAAAATAATATGCACAATTACTTCAACCAATTTCTGGGACTTCCCAGACCAAAACACCTTTCCATGGCCACCATTCCCTTTTGTATTCTATCTCTGCTCATTAAAATCTAAGCTACCAAAGGGTAAGTTCTCTATCTCTACCTTCTATTCTTGCCCTAGAGCTTGGAATATAGTAAATTCTTAATAGATGGCTTTCATGTATCCATGAATTTATAATTATATAAATATCAATATATCATCATAATCATTAATAATCATTAATAATAATAATAATCACAGTTTATCAAGTAGAATTAGGTACAAAGTTAGGAACTCATCTTTTCCCCTAAACCCTCCCCTTCTCCTACCAGCCCAATTACTCCAGAGGGAAACACTATTCTCCCAGTTTCTCAGGCTTGCAACCTAGGAGTCTTCATGGATTCCTCACTCTCTCACAGCCTCCTGCACCTTCTAAACCAATCTGTTGCCAAAGCCTATTGATTTCACTTTTTTGACATCTCTCAAATGTGTCCTCTTCTCTCCTCTGACACTACCACACTATGGTGTAGCTCATCACCTGATCCCTGAACTATTGCAATAGCCTGCTTGTGGGTCTGCCTATCTCAAGTCTCTCTCCCCCACCCCAATCCATCCTTCGTTCAGGCACTAAAGTGATTTCCTTAAAGTGCAGGTCCAAACACATCACCCCCTACTTAATAAACTCCAATGGTTCTCTATTGCCTTCAGGATCAAACACAAAATCCTCAAGGTCCTTCATAAGCTCTTACATTCTTATATACCCTCTTACATTCCAGTCTTCTTACACCTTACTCTCCAACACGTACTCTTCAGTCCAGTGACACTGGCCTCTTGGCTGTTCCAAGAACAAAACATTTCATTTCTGATGTCCAGGCATTTTCTTTAGCTGTCCCACATGCCTGGGATTCTCTCCCTGCTCTGCTTTACCTACTGACCTCCCTGGCTTCCTTAAATCTCAACTAAAGCCATCTTTTACTGGAAATCTTCTCCAACCTCTCTTAATTCTAGTGCTTTCCTTCTCTTAATTGTTTCCTGTTTATCTTCTACGTAGCTTGATTTATGTATATTTGTCTGCCTCTTATCTTCCTCATTAGACTGTAAGTTCCTTGAGGGCAGGGACTGTCTTTTGCCTCTTGTTGTATCCCCAGCACATAGCATAGGTCCTGGCACATAGTAGATGCTTGATAAATGTTTGTTCTTTGATTGTTAAACAAGTTCTTTGTTGTTTGAATTGTTAATAATTCTAACTACTAACAGCACATATACATGAGTCAGAATATAGATAACACTTTCCTTCATAATCTGACTTACAAAAATATGAGTTAATCTATAATTGTGTTGTTTTTAATGAATGCTAACAATTTTTTAGATTTCATTTAAGTGATACATCTTTACATGCCTACCTCACAGACTTTATTCTTTCTTTTTCCCATGGATTCTGGTGACCCTGGAAGAGAGAGTGAGGCTGACAACTTCATGCAATTCTGCCTTACTTAAATTCAATTCATGCTCAAGTCAAAAGACATCACCCATACCATTTTACTATTTCATTATTTTATCATTTTAAAATTTAGAGACATCTCCATCCCAAGTGTTCATATATTATTCTGATCAGTCACAGTTGGACTGTACATTGACCCTGACATCATGATGGCATTTTGGTCCTCTTTGAATATAAAGTAAGACAAGATGCATAAGGTGGGTATTCAAGCAGAACCAATCACTCAGTTAATATAAGCTTCAAGTATGGGTCCTAGGTATATGTCTCTTTTATTAGTGTAAGAACCCTTCTGGTGAAGGCTGAATTCTGGCAAGGGGGACTAAGTCTCTAAAGACCTTGGGACTTGTATCTCTTCTCAGTGACAGAAGAGAAAACAACCCAAGACCAGGACTACAGGCTTGGGCAGGTGAGGTTTCCAGGAATTCTGGATGGGGAGTGAAAGGAGGTAATGATGCTGTCCCTTAATCAGAAGCAGGATGGTAGCATCTGGTAACTCCCTTCCTCAGACTTAATCCCCCAAGGGAGAACAGGAAAGGTGACAATGAGAAGAAGAAGTAGTAAGGTATAAGACTGTGTCTATTATCAGAGGTGCTTGCACCAGCAGTAAGAAAGCCAAGGATAAAAAAGACACTGAGGAACTGAAGAACTGGTATTCCTCACTCTCCTTCCCCCTGCCTTATTGTGGAGGGATTCAACTGGCATCCAATCCTAATCATGTCTTTTTAGTTTGTTAAAAGCTGAAACTGACTGATCTGATATTATCTCTCAGAAATACCTATGGTTGACTCTGTCTTTATATTTCTTTAAGTTCTTCCATTAGGAGCATGAGAATAAGGGACAACATTGGTAGCCATAAAGGAGAGAGTGGCCTTTCCTAGTGCAGGCCTAGGATCACAACCACACTGTTAAAGAGTATTTTTTCCCTTACTGGGGCCATGTTCACAGGGAGCTTACATTTAATGACTATAATCCCAAGGGTAGAATTACTATGAAATTGAACCTTGGGCTTTATGCAGTCACACCTAGGATTATATGAGGACCAGCCTAAGTAAGTTGAGACAGGCTCAGAACAAGGACAGTCACAGAGTGATTAATTTTTCAGTTTAGCAGCTCCCAAAGACTGTCTACCAAATGGTAGAATTGCGACTGCTTTTGTTATAAATAGCATTTATATTGACAAA